AGAGGGTTATCAGGTTAGCTACGGTGATATGTACGGCAACTAGTTACATGTTTTTAGTATGCTTCTTCAAGTTTGTGTATCTCAAAATTTTGGTGGTCAACCTCATACAAATTTTAGTGCAAAGACATGACCATTTGTTCCTCTGTCTGTAGTGAAAAGGATTCAGCCCAACGAAAATTTGGGGAAAATTTGGAGGTGGGTAAAGAGGCCAGAATTAACATTGAAGTCAATAGGGAAATTAATGGTGGTCTGCCTCCAAATGACTTGAAGACTAAAGGGAGATAATCCACCTTTAAGTTGATTGATCCTCTTGCTGAAGACGAATTTCCACCAATAATTGTCTCCCATAAGCTGGTTGACTCCGACGGATGTTCTCTTCAGCAAACTTAATCAGGCTCCAACGTTGTAGAGGGGTTGTTATAAGAAACAATCCAGAAAGGGTTCAATACTTTATCATATAAACCATGCAAGTAATAAAAACCCTGGAAATACACAATTCAATATAATATAAGTTTTACAAAACAAAAGGCAAGATCAAAATACAAACACCTTAACTAACAACATTACTATAATAGCATAGAAATAAATCTCAGCTACAAAGTGAATAACTATAACAAATAGTAAAGATGGTACCGGTACTTTAATAAACATACATTATGCCACACTGATCAGAAGTGAATATTCGCTAGGCCGCTACAATCACTGATAAGGATGACATTGATGCGACATAATGAGCCACAAATATTAACTTTTTCCCTCCATCATTAAAATAAGTAAAAGATTCCATTCTGCCCGGCTGAGTAAGGTCTTATGTAAACAATGCACGCTCTATTGAGCCAATGATTGACCCCGTGTGACAAGACGTCACGTGTTGAGGGTAATCATCTTTACACTGGATAACCTGCTACCTGTCTCTTTATTGAAGTCAGAAGTCAGTGACATAGTAACCAGCCTGACATCATTTAGAGCAGGTTATCCAGTCTAAGTCATCTTTTACAGAGATATTAGAAGACTTTCGTAATCCTCTGTGAAACAGATTGACATTATGCAAGAGCTAAATCTGCATATTGCAGGTCTTTCTTTAGGCCTGAAATGTTTTATAAACTATTAAAGATACATTATGTAAGATTTAGATAAAGAGCTGGCCATTCTTGCTATAATAGTTCGAAAATAGATAATGTAAAATGAATAATTTGAAATTAACTGATCCAGATCATAATCAACGGTTCAGTTATATTTTAATTTAATTTAAAAATGGAGGAGCGAAACTTAGCTTCAAACCACCAGTACTATATGGTTGCAATTATTGCACACGTCTTGTCAAACCTTCAAAGGCTAATATCTTCGCTCGCAATCGAGTAATTGGAATAAATTTTTCAAATTATTCATTTTACATTATCTATTTTCGAACTATTATAGCAAGAATGGCTAGCTCTTTATCTAAATGTTACATAATGTATCTTTCTACACTCTAAATTAACTATTAACTTACCTGAAAGAAGTTGAGTTTTAAATACTAAATTAGTTTATCCATACAACCTAACAACCTGAAAAAGGATGGGATATATATGTATAATGTGTGAATGTATGTATGCAAATAAAATTTATCAACTTTACCCATAAAAACTAACAATTTCAGTATAAAAATATAAAGCTAGAGAGTTAAAGATACAGCTTTTATAATCAGTAAAACATAATGCAACAACATACTGATAAATGACTGCAATTTTTCACCAAAACTCCAACAACATACCTCAAAACTAAATCTACAAATGACTTTGCTAAACTTCCTCTTTGAAAGAAAGATGCTTAACAACTGAATGTATCTACCAACAAATACATCACATGACCAAGAAATAATGAAACTGAGTTAAAAGTACTCACCATGGTTAAAGCAACAACAGCTTAAAGAAATTCACTGATGAAGTTTAGAAGGTTAAAGTTGGGGTTTAAAGGTGCTGACTGCTGACCAACATATGCAATACTAAAAACATTAAAAATTAATATACACAAAATTGTAAAATACTTTCAATTTTACCACCTGTAACACAAACAAATATATACCACAAAAATAATAAATCAAAATGTCAGTGATGCAGGCCGGAGGGTCGGACAAGTACGAAAAACCAAGGTACAGTATCATTGGCGTGCACGTAAAAGATCCCTTGACAGGAGGAATTCAATATAAGAGTAGGCCGAAGTGCCTCAGTATGGGCAAAATTTCCCTCATAGCACACTGTATTGCATATGCCCATCTTCATTGGCCCAAGGGGAGGTAGTGGTGCTGGATGGCTGAATGGTAAGCAAGTGTACGCTGTATCATAATGTCTGTCAATGAGTCAACTAGCGAGGTTTTCGATTCCCTGGTTGTACGTGACAATTTTTAAGGAGTAGCGCCGCTTGTCCAACCTCGTGGGTTTTCTCCGGGTTCTACAGTTTCCTCCCACTGTTAAAGATCCCTACGCGCAAGCAAATTATTAAAATAAAATTGAACCATATGTTAGTCCCAAAATGACCTAGTTTGTGTTGAGTGGACTTAAGCCCCATCTCTCTCTCTCTCTCTCTCTCTCTCTCTCTCTCTCTGTCATTAGCCCAGTTCCGAGCAGAACAGTAGGAGGTCAAACCCCATTTCATTTCATTTACATAACCAAAATCATAATCCATAAATAAAGGCAAGTCGTCATCGAGTAAAAACTGTAAGCAACTAATAATGAAATTTTTAACCTAACAAATAATACAGAAATAGAAAATCGTTTTAAAAGTAGATATACAACCAATGAAAATCAAATCCAAACAGCTAGTATTCTCTAAAACCCAAACCCCAGATTGCATGCAAGCAGGTGGTTTAGCTGGGACTGGTTGTGTAATATTATATCCGAGTAAATATTAGGATCGAATTGAGAAATTGAATCACCAGTAACAGTAATATCAGGAACAGTAATATCAAGGACAAAAATATCAGTTAACACGTTAGTAACAAAAACAGAACAGAAGAATTGGATGAAATAGGCTACTTCAACCACGAGAACTTATAGCATCTGTTTCTAGTATAAAAGGATGCATAAAATCATCGAAAGCCAAAATATGAGAAGTTAAATGAGAAATAAGATTATCAAAAAAACTGTTGTTGATTTGCACACCAATAAAATGAACTACAAGTAGATTTTCTATGTTTTTAGGTTGATCGCCAGGTCAGTTAAAGGTCGAGTAATCCTAGCATAATCCTTGAAGCGTCTGAAACATCCACAAAATCCCAGAAAACTACGTACTTCAGAAACAGATGTAGGAATCGACCAGGTTGTAAGGGTAGAAATTTTTATCAGAGTCAGCTTTAATACCATCTTAGAACTGATACGTCCGAAATATTTTAACGATGACTGAAGAAATTCACATTTTGGAGGTTTTAATTTAAGATTGTGCTTCCTCAGCCGGAAAAATTTAAATCTAACTAAGAAAAATATTAATCCAAAATTTCGTCTATACGAGAAAGAGCTTAAGAATCACGAACAGTTTTCGAATTAAGTTTTCTGTAATCTACGCAGAATCGTAGAAAAGCATCTTTCGTGCGTACTATTAACAGGAGAAGCAATTAAATGGACTATTAGGTGGAAGAATAACATTGGTTTTTATCATGTCTTGGATCATGTCATGTATCGTGTGGCTGGAGTAAGGCGGAAGACGTCAGTAGTGGAACCATTTCTAGTCTTGGATATGTTACATTAAATCTCTTGAAACATCGATGGCGGAATCCTACGGTGTCATTGTTTGAAAGGTATTTCATATGCTAGCTTAATTTCACCCGATCCGCCTATTATTAGCCTAAAAGTATCAGCAAGTTGTTATAGTCATTTTAACATGCTAGTAGCAGCGTCAAGGGCTGCCTCTGCGCCTTTCGGGGCTGTTGTTAGCCGCTACCAAAGGCAGCTGGGCTTAATTTAGTTTTTATTTTCTCAATAAATAAATCCACACCTCTATGAATAAATCGGGACTTGGAAAACTAATTTTATTCCCATTTTTGGGGAGAACGTAAGTTCTCGTGAGTGTAATGAGACCTACGTTCAGAGCTGAACTTATATAGCCTAGAGCTGACTGGAACCCGATCATTAAAAACGAAACTGAAGGCGAAACTTTTACCTTCGTGTTCGTTTCGTTTTTGGCGCTAAAATTCTTGATGTTAATGATTCGCCATCAATACATGTATATTCGGGAAAAGTATGTCGAACGGTGTTAGAAGATTGTTACCTGTTCGGTGGCACGAAAAGCTCCGTTTGAATTCCAGTTTAACATGATTTGGGGTATTCTGGCGTCTGATGTCACGTTTTTTGTTTAAAATTTACTGTCAAAATCGTGTACATCTGATTATTATTACTGGCGTCTGATGGTGGTCACGTTTTTTGTTTGAAATCTACTGTCAAAATCGTATACATCTGATTATTATTACATCAGTAAAAACTTAAGCGTATAGTACGTGTAATTGGTAGGCCTATGTCATGTTCTTGTATTAAATCTGTGCCTGTGTTTTAGCAAATTACCCCAGATATATGCTAAAATGACGCTAGAAACCATATATGTATCTTTCAAAAAGTTTTAATCCCGAAAATATTCATATTGAAACAAAGCGTTATTTTACATCACAAGTAAATTTCCTTGCATTTTACATACTTATAAGTAGGACGTTAAACCCCATTTCATTTCATTTCATTTACATACTTATATTGATCATGCGTGATCCGGATTTGGTAAGTATTAACACGGAATCGGTTATGCCGGTCGATTTCGGTAAATTCAGGAAATATAACGACATATTACTGGTTAATCAAAAATTAACCAAATTTGCCTCAGAATAATAATACATCGATGTTGGTTGGATATCTAAAAATAGATAACCAATCATAGCTTCTTTTATGTATTTTATGCAATTGATCGGGTGAACGGAAGCAGAAATACCAATATACGCTCCACGTTTGGTGACTGACTCGAATTATCTGCCTGTTTTTTTTTTTCGACTGGATTATTTGACTGTTTTTTTTTCGACTGAGATATTTCACTGATTTTATTGACTGATTTATTCGACTGAGCTATTTGACAGGATTTATCGATATCATCATCGCAAGGAAGGATCTAACGCTTACCGTTTAGGCCGGGGATAGTCCCCCCCCCACTCCTCCCCCACCCCCCACATGCTCAGGGGCGTAAATGTGGGGGGGGGGGAGGTGGTACACCCCCCAGGAAAAAAAATAGTCGGTCGCAAAATCAGTGCAGTCGGTCGCAAAATAAGAGCAGTCGGTATCAAAATAAGTGCTCACTGCACACGTCACGCTACTCACGCAAAACTTCAGTATAAAGCAACCTTGTCAACTTATCATGTTTGAAAAAATGATGTGTTTCACTCTTATTCTGTTGTGAGTATGTAGGTCCAAGAACAAAATTTCCCCCAGGGAGAAAAATAGTCGGTCTCAAAATAAGTGCAGTCACTGCAGTCGGTCTCAAAATTATGCGTCGCCGTCTTAATGAATTAATGAGGTAAACAAATAATGCCAGAATAGATCCCAAATACTAGTCGGTCGCAAGATCAGTGCAGTCGGTCGTAAGATATGAGCAGTCGGTATCAAAATAAGTGCTCACTGCACACGTCACTCTACTCACGCAAAACTTTAGTATAAAATAACCTTGTCGACTTATCATGTTTGAAAAAAATGTTTTTCACCCCATGGCAAAAAAAATAGTCGGTCTCAAAAAAAGTGCTCATCGCAGTCGGTCCCAGACTAAATGAATTAATGGGGTGTTTTCTGACCATCAGAATTCTGCAAAATCTCTCCCTAAAGTCCAGGGCATTTCAGAGACCAAGTAAGCGCCCCATTGAGGTAAAGTGCCCTCAGACCCAGTCCTCAAAAATTAAAAGCTCAGTTAGATATCGGCGCTCAATTCCATTATGCCATCATTCTTCAACTCCTTCTCTGTCTTATACTATCTCATCACTAACATATTCACAGTTACAGTGAATCACCCAGTTAGTAGTACCACTAGTGAGTGAGTGAATTAACAATTCTACAGTCTTTTGACCCACGACTCATCTGTCAAGTAGCTTTGGCTTCTGCAATTAAATTCCAATTTAGATATATGTATTAATGGGTGTAATGCAGGAGACAGTAAATGGCTATTCTTTCTGGAACACATGTCACCGCCAATCATTTGAGAATTGAGGAGTTCACAAAGGTAACAAATTGTTGATGTTTTTGTGTGTCGACTAACCTTAGAAAATGACACCAATCAATTGGATACGCCAATGCAGAATGGCCGTATTCAACGGCTAATCGTTACTTCTGCTATAAGCACTACAATTTATTGCACCATTCAGCTCTCAGTTCATGTGACCTTTAACAGCCCCAGAAGTTAAGCCAAGTTCCTTCCTTCAATATGGAAATATCTATTATCCAGATAAGATAACGGCCAAAACTGCGGCTGATACAAATGTGCAACAGCTTTCATTTTGGCGTATACCTTTCTTATCTATTGTTTAATATATAATTAACCTCATAATATCCGAAATAAATATTTAAACCTGTGTATCAATGCCGGAACATATTAATAAAAGATAACATCAATCACTGTCAACAACAACCTATAAATACGGGGAATCAGTTAAACTGAAATGAGTGTCCTCAAATCGTGATTTGTAACAGACATTATCATTCTAAAAAGATGCAGGTTTTAGTAGTATTTATGGTCGTTCTTGTAACAGGTATGTAAAATCCAAATATTAACATCTAAAATCAGATATTAAAAACATTTAGAATACAGAATTTTAAATATATATCTTTAAGTTCGGATTATCCCAGAAGATTCATATCGTCACTTCTTTAGATTTTTCAGAACCAAATTTTGTAATTCCAGCAAATCTCAAAACCTTTGGCCCAGGATAAATATGTCTGTGTCTGAGTTTGTCGGAAAAATCCTATCTCCAAGAACCTGTTGAACTTGACATTAACGGATCGACTTAATTTATTTTAAGTACTTTTGTTTGTGATATAATTATTAATAGCTTAAAGTGTTTTTTAATATTTTATTTGTAGCCTGCGTATCAGCAGATGACTGTCCACCATTAGCTTGTCAAACTAAATTATGCCCAACAGGCCGTGTTCATGATACAGATGGATGCCCAACGTGTGATTGTAAGTTATAATTTATATTGTAATATAGGTCTATGTGATAAACGCGGAATAGCTCAACAAAAGTGTTATGGAAACTGTTATGGTATTGCTCGCCTGGTCATGGACCATTGTGCAGCTTTCGTCAAAGACAACAATTGCATTTTTGATTTGCAATAATTATATAGACCCAGTTATAATTAATTGTAGAGATTTCCTAATAAAAAAGATGAATTTACATAAAATTGAAATGGGATAGAGTATTTCATAAAGACAATGAATTGAAGCAACATAAAATAAATTGAAACAACTGTACAGGGAACAGGCTAGTTGCGGGTACCGATCGAGTTAGGCTGCGACACTGGTATTGTAATGTACATTCTTTATTTTATTACCGGTATTGTAATGTGTATTAAAGATGTTATTACCGGTAATGTAATGTGCATTATTGAAAATTATTACCATTATATTAATATACATTATTTATGTTATTACCGGTTTTGTTAATGTGTATTTTTGATGTTACCATACAATCATTCTGTTGTATTACATAGGTTGTGGTGATGTAATGTGTGCAATGTTTTGTCCAACTGGTAATACAATTGGACCCGATGGCTGCAAACAGTGCCGTTGTAAGTTAATGAATTTAAACATGTATCACTAAAAAACAGTATTCCCCAATCTGTATTAGACGATATTTACAACGATATGAATTCCATTTACTTTCTTCATTTGCTTTAATAATGGAAATGAAATGGAGTCTAACGTCCTACGTACTGTTCTGCATCGACTTGTGGGAATGTTTGTCAGGACAGTGGCGCTATAGCCTACAGCCTACTCCTATTTCGAATTCCAACTGTCAAGGGTTCTTTTATGTGCACGCCGATGAGTACACGTGACATCGGTTGTTCGTCCCATCCAAACGACTAGACATCAGGCCCTCCATCCTACACCTCTGAAAATTATTGTTGCAAAATTAATTATGAGCTTGCCCGATTATTTTTGACGCTGATTGTAATAAGGAGATTGGTTACTTGGTAATGCCTATAACTTGTTGTTGGAAAAACTATAATGCGTTTTTAGTGAATATTGTCTTATAATAGGTTGTTGTCTGTTCTACAGGTTGTCCTGAAGTAATGTGTACGATGTATTGCGAGAAGGGCTTAAAAATCAAGGAGGATGGTTGTCAAAAGTGTGAATGTAACTAAAGGTAATTAACTCCCTTTTTTGTCTCCTGTCTTTCGAAGAAAGCAGGGGACTATTAAAATGGGTTCGTCCGTCTGTCTGTCCGCCCGGGTAAGCAGAGATAAGCAATTTGATTGGTTGATGTTTTGGGACACGATAACTTTAGTTCTAATTAAGTGAGAGTGCGGACACTTGGTGTATAGTTTAATCGCATCAATGACTTGACTAAGTTCGATAATGAGCATTTTCTGCTCCGGGTAAGCAGAGCGATAAGCAATTTGATTGGTCTAGACTTTGGAACACAATAACTCTCCTTCTAATTGAGGTAAAAATTTTCAAACTTGGTGTAGGCGTTCGTTGGGTGAATGCCTTGATGGAGTTCGATGATAAACATTGTCTGCTTACGGTAAGCAGAAATAAGCAATCTGATTGGTTGATGCTTTGGGGCACGATAACTTTAGTTTTAATTAAGTGAGAGTAATGAAATTTCGAGTATAGATTATACTCATTATACTCATTATATCATTACCTTGACTAAGTTCGATGATGAAACTTTTCTGCTTACGCTAAGGAGCGATAAGCAATTTGATTGGTCAAGACTTTGGAACATAGCAACTCTGCTTTTAATTGAGGTAGAATGTTTAAACTTGATATAATGTTCATTAGGTCAATGTCTTCACTGAGTTCAATGATTAACATTTCGAGCTAAAGCTAAGCAGAGCTAAGCAATTTCATTGGTCGATGCTTTGGGACAAGATAACTTTGATTCTATGTGATAGATTCGAGAGTGATGAAACTTAGTGTATAGTTGATAATCAGTTTGATATTTGATACTTTTGAAAAAAAATGAATGTGCTATTACATGTAATTAATATTTGTCATTTATTTATTTTGGGATTTCGGCGGGGGACATCAGCCTCACTGTTGACTTGTTCAATTTTATACGCCCATATTTCAGCCCGATAGTGTAAAGTGTGTAATTCCATGGTTGTGGACCCTCTAGAGGTTGCTTTCGACATTTGCGCATGTCGGATCGTAACTTCCCGGATTATGACCCATGATTGCACGGAAAATCGAGTTTGTAGCTTATGGACCGCTAGACGTCACACTTTATATTTTATTTTAATAAACGTTCATATATATCACCGTTACACTATGATTATGGGTGAGTTCGAATTTCGCGAAAATCGGACCGAAACTTCACGTCAAAATGGTCGCTCCCCTTTACACAAAAAGTGTAAAAACATGTAATGCCAAGGTTGTGAACCCTCTAGAGGTCACAATTTTTATCCGATTTTGATGAAACTTAAAACATGTTTATATCCCAAAGATCTCCGTTCCTTGCGATATTGGCGCATATCAGACGGCAACTTCCTGGATTATGGCCCGTGATTGTACGAAAATGATCAATATATAGCTGGTTGACCCAGATGAAACTTAAAAACATATTAACGCATGTCGGACCGTAACATCCTGGATTATGGCCTGTGATTGTATGCAAAATCCCATTTTAGTCTGTTCTCTGTCCACCTCTTGCAAAATGTGGACGTATCTTGCATGTCAACCGCTTGTTTCCTTTTGCAAACAATTATAGAATATGTTGACATTTATTTTTTTTTATGTCTGTGATGTCTGCATACAATTATTTATACTGTCATCTTTAATAATTGCATATAATGTTGACAAGGTAGACATTATCTTTCGACAAGAGCCAATCTAGATTCTTATGAAAACACATGCAGTAATACCCATGTCTTTTATATCCAGCTTATATTTTATTATCAGTGGCTAAATTTGTTCCTTTTTCAGGATTTTACAGACTAAGTCTAAAATACATAGAATGCAATATAATGACATATTATGATATATGTTTCCGAAATAAATATCTTCCCTGTTCCTTATTCTCTATAATGTTTCTTTTTGAACAGAAATCGCAAAGTCATGTACTAGATATAGAAATTCTTCTGGGAATCTTTCAGATTCAGCAAGATTTTCGGGTACTGTATGACAATTCGTGGAATAGCTCGGATATCGCCCCTTAACGCAACATAATATAGGCTACATTAGTGTGTAAGGGCGAGGGTGTAGAAACCTCGTGTCTGTTCTGGGATAATGTACAAGGAAATGTGCTTATTCTATCAAATAGGATAAATTGTACTTATTCGATTTCGCGTAAAATAAAAAACACTTAAAATTGGAAGAAGTCCTTGTCTTTTAAAAGTCCCCATATTCACATTAACATTATTTTTATTATTATTATTGTTCGATTTATATAGCGCTTCATTAACATAGGAAATAAAATTAACTGATTAAGTATACGAGAAGTTAAACATGATATAAAAAAACAAATATACTATCTATCATAAATTAATCAAAAGCTTTGTAAACATAAATTTTTGGAAACATTAAAACTGTATTTAAAAAGAAAACCAAACAACCCAACATATTTTAAATCAAAATACTCATTTATTAACATACACACTGATTAAAAGACCATTAAAAACAGTTATACTATTTGGCAAAAAGCTTTATAAAATAAACGTAATTTATATTTAAACTATAATAAAAAAAATCACAACACAAAATATATATTTAAACAAAAAAACATATAGTTTTATAACAAATATATTGCTAATACATTTACTGGAAAGCTTTGTAAATAAATTTTCTAAACGCAAAAATAAACATTTATTAATAACAAATATCCAAATATTGAAATATTTAAACATAACTTGCCAGGAGCTAAGTCTTTCAAACAGTTATGACCTAAATATATGTAAAGCCTCCTGGGTGCTAGGTGCTATCAAGATTCCGCCACAAAGGGGAATAACCCTGAAAGTTATTATTAAAGGTCGTTGAAAATCAGTGTCGTTCTTTCTTTCAATTGAATAAAATTTCAGAAAGGTAGGATCATAATATTGAAGTTGCTAAAACATAAAGTTCCCATCATGTCCAAAGTCTTTATGGTGTTAACAAGCCTCCGTAACAAAAGGAAATAACTATGGAAGGTACATATATTATCAAAACCATCGATGAAAATCAAGTTTTTGTAACAAAGGGACTATAACCCTGTCTTATGTTGACATAAAAATAAACTACACGAAATATGTAATTGAATTATCTGAATTCGATATAAAAAACACAAAACAAAAAAAACCCTGCCTAATAAACAAAATTTAACCTACAATAACGCTAACCATCCATCCATGAATTATTATAGCCATGTGCAGAGCTTCCTAGCTCAAAGGATGGATTCTTCTAACTTAATTTCAGCACAGAGTCTTTGTTGACGTATTTTTTCAAGTCTTGAAACTTTCGGAATAAAGAAAAGAAGTAGAACAGCAAGGAGACATAAGGCACCAAGAATACGAAAAGCCATTACGTAACTTCCAGTCGTATCTTTTATAGTTCCTGAAAAAACAAACATAAATGCAAATCTTTGTTACCTCAAATGCTATACATCTCAGCTCCCTTTTTTCCAAATCCTTTTGGATTAAACTGATCGACATTGTAATTTTAACATACCGCGTGTCCACGAGCACTGGAGTCGGAACAAATGGGTAGTCTTTTGTTGGGAAATTCTGATTCTTGAAAGATTCAGGTGATTCCAAATCCCCTCGACAACCCAAAGCAATTGCCCCGTGTGCAATTAGAAAATTCCTAAAAATAAAACAGTGCATAGACGTTGTAAAAAAATCAAAAGATTAGCACTACCACATATTAAACCTCCTAAATGAACTTCATTAATCTACCATTTCAATTTACAGCCTATGTGTGTTTTACTTTTAATATGGAGACTTTAGTTTATTGTGATCTACTCCCTCCTGGAGGTCCACAGAATACACACATTATAACACTGCGAATACTTGGTATACATAATAAGCTATGAGAAACTATCAAATCAACAGCTGGAAGGTACCCCGTCATTATCCCTATTAATCTATTAAACATTTACATGTATACCAAATTTAAACGAAGTCGCAAATGTCTAAACCGCCTTCTTCAATATGCCACTCTGAGACTCATGTGAACCGAAGAACTTCACAATCCTTCAAGTAGCTTTGTATAAGTATCCCACGACAACGTGCGAGGAACATTCAACATTTTGCTGAAATCCAAGAAATAGTATAAGAAAAAGAAGTACGAATAAGGGTATTTTTGCCCATATTGCATAGATAAACCTTTTTAGAACAAATTGGAATAGTATTTTATTACCATACTTCCTTCTACATTTTACAGCACTCTTCAGTCTGATTGAGTAGTCGTCTATGAAATATTTGAATCTGGTATTCTTCCTTATAATTATACCAATTTTAGTAAAGAAAATTATATTTATTTAAAAACTCACCAACAAGTGGATGATAAGCAGCAATAAAAGCACCATGTACACAAAATAGAAATCCCATTGATTTACCAAGATTCTGTAGGCCCAAAAAGTCTGTTAGAACCACAGGGAGTAAAGCTGCATATGGTCCAAGAGACATTCCGAATATTAGAGAGAAAACCATTTGGAGTTCAAAAGTTGTGTAGTAATCAGTAAATTGAGATGTGATACCACCAAGAAGGAGACTAGTCATCATTATATGATGTCGTTTAATAAATCTCAGATCAGCAATAGCCCCTACAAACAATCTTGATGCAACATCCGAAACACCAACCACAGTTAAAAATAAGGCCGTGTCCTTCTCGTTAGCCCCGTTTTCTATCATCAGGGCGGGTATATAAACAGGCCCCAAAAACATCCCAATAGCTAGAGCAGATATAATCATAAGTAAAATAAAGACATAATTCTTCAGCAACGACAAATCTAAGATGTTAGATAACTTGCACAAATATCTGCATTTACAAGACTTGTGTGTGTCCGTTTGGGATTTGTCATTTGATATGACTTCTTCTATTGTTTCTGTACTTGCATCAGCTGCCGACAAGGACATTAAATCTGTGTTACTAAGGTACTTAAGAATTCTAGATTGCGATAAAGAATCTAAAAAAGATTGATTTGAGTCAGATTCTAATCTGCTGAGGTGCCTTTCATAAACCGCGTTCTTGTCGCTTTCGGACTGAGTACGCGGACGCATTGTCTGTGGCATCTTTAGGTCATTGCTTATGCTTCTTAGCAACTTCATTTCGATGTTAACTCTAGGATTTGTGATTTCCGATAATCTATTGTTTGTGTTTTTGTTTTTTCTTCTACACTCTAGAGCGAATGACTCCGGTTCCCGAAGCAGTAAAGCAAATGCAAACATCTGACACTGAACTCCACCCATTATCAACAAAGTTCCTCTTAAAGCAAATGTGTTAAGTAGATATTGAACGAAATATGGAAATACCAAGGAACCCATGCTGGTACCCGTTTTCGCTAGGGAGGTAGCTAAACCTCGCCGTTTTTTAAAGTATCGTCCCACTAGCACCAATCCTGGTGAATCTACACTTGCTTGACCCATTCCTAAAAAATATAGATTCATCATTATAAGATATTCAATGTTTGAATGTGGGTTTAACACATATAGGTAGGGAGTACGTGGGGATGAGACATCTACAGACATAATTTCTTGTGGTTTGTGTATAAGTGGCCATGTCTTACAAAATCGTAATCTGGTTTATACAGATTTGTTTAGTATCAAGATGAACGATTGGAAGTTTGGGTAATCCCTACTGTTGCGTATCGGATTTTCTCCCATAAAGCGATTTCACACAAATGACCAAAATGGGAAAGTAATTTCAAGCCTGGGACAGACCAGACGAAATAAGATGCTAAGGCAATAACCTTAGAAATTCTAAGTTTTGGGAAAAAGAGAAAGGGACTGCACATACTATTGACACAGTTCGTTCCCCAATTCCTATTGAGAAACGACCAAAAAGAAATATACAGTTGCTGCGTATGATAAGGCATTTGAAACAGTTAATTAATGTTGATGGTATAAAGGCATACGAATAGCGCTATGCTGATGTGATGGGATATTATATTTGACGCAATAAGCTGATGGTGCGAATACATATAAATAGCGCAGTAAGCTGGCGTGTCATCGCATATAAATGTCAAAATATAAAGCATATAAACATGCAACGCAAACTGTGCATCTTAGTTAAGGCGTGTGGAAGGAAATACTATGATGTGTTTGTCATGTATAAAATGAGTTTCTTAAGATTGCTGAGAACCATTGAACCATTATACTTTAATAAATTATCTGGGTTGACACATTTGGCTCCGGTGTTTATTGTACCCAGTAGATTTATGAAGGAAGCACGAGCATGCATGAGACGGTGTGTGTTTATTCTTTCCAAACCACTAGACGCTAATTCTCCTTTGCCGAGTCCAAAAGTTTATAAGATATTTCTGTATCTGGTTGCCTTGGCCCCAACGTTTTAAAAGAAAACTGAGCTATATGCCCATCCTTTATTTAAGGAGCTCGCATGGGTACATCAAGACACTATTTAGGATATTTTTAAAAAAGAAAAATGAGCTATATGCTCATCTTTTATTTCAGGAGCTCTCGTGGGTACATGATTATACTTTTGTCAGTCACATATTCTTTTTTCGTGTATAAGCCCCACAAATTTTAGCTACGCATCATCCGGTACTATTGTGCAAGACCTGGAAATTCTGAATTTCGAAAGAGTCCTATAGGATCACACTTCACAGGTTTGAGAGAAATGTGCAAACAATACCCTATCTTCATACTTTTAGAATTGACTACAATCCTATCATATCCAGATGCAGCATAGGTTGGTTTAATAGCCTATACGCTTATAGGTTATTGTGCGGTAACAGTTATTTTGAAAGAGTGTGTCAGTTGATAAACTGGTTTCTGTGGAATATTTGTTAAACCAAGCTCCTGGTATCCAAGTCCATTAGGTTACGACAAGAAATGTCAAGAAGATGGACTTTATAAGAGTTCAATATTGAGGGATACTGGAGTGCTTTTGACCATTCTAGACGATTAACCACTAATGTAGCATCTTTGAACATATGATTAAAACGAAACATAATTTCAATATAACAATAAAATATCAGTATCACATTTGTACATTGAGTTGAACATCTTTATATAGTTTATAAAATTTTCTGCATAAAATTATAAAACATTATATAACATATAAATATAGAAAATTTAAAGTCATAACATTTATAAATCTATAAATTTATTTTATATTCACAGAAAGCATTGTTGGCTGTTAATCTTTGGTGGCTAGTCTGGTAAACAACACGTAGAATATTGTTTACCGTTCTGGTGTAAAACATAAAATGCAGAGACTGAAGCCTCTTGTAGATTAAAGCGAAAATTGATATCATCTGATGTGTTCACACAGACATAGCTAACAACTCATTAGCATCGGGTTCTGAAGCCAAGTCCAAGTGCAAGGAGTAAAGTATATATCTCTTTCTAGAACACGATACCACTTCTCATTTATTGTTCTTTCGTATACATGCATAAACAACAGATAGAGTCATACTTATTTTTTACACACAAATATGTACACAAACATACACACATGCGCAGTACTAATACCACGATAATAGTCAAGCGTTTCGTAACGGACACTCAATATCATTTTATATTCCGATTTATTGTTTGTAAAGGCCCAACTACCAATATTGTTGTTCACATAAAAAGTTTCCCTCAGCTCATTGAGTTTGCCTTTTTCTTATCAGTTTCAACAGAAAATTTTCGCTTACGTTTTTCTTCTAAACGTGAAACTAATGGCACAAATAAAAGCAAAATCACCGCAACAAGGCACGTTGTACCCACCAGATGATACGCCATTACATAGCTTCCCGTTGTGTCTCGTATGGCACCTGAAAGAGAATAAATATATGTATTATTTCCTGGACAGTCGCGAATCTATGTACCATCGATTGGAAAACATTATTTCATGTCATACATTTTTCACACATTAACATAGCCGCCAATATGTAGAAAACATGCAAGATGCACTCGGAACTCACGGGATGATTTACCAGAAGAAGGTTGCAGGCATGACAATAAATGGATGATAACTGGCGTTATCTATAATAATTACAAAATGACATACTTTCAGATAAAAATAACATTAGATGACCCAATTATGTTTGAAAGGACAAATTTTTAAAGTGGTTGATATTTCATTTATATAATCTGTAACGTTTACTTTTTACCTTGGGGGATCACGTGGCTAAGTGGGTAAGACGATCCCTGCATTGGCCGAGAAAGTTCATCCAGAATTTCTGGCGTGGTTTCCCCTTGTCTAGTCCTTCGGATGAGACGAAAAACCGAGGTCCCGTGTATACATTGGAATGCACGTAAAGATCCCTTGGCAGTTTGAATTCTATATAAGAGTAGGCGATAGTGCCGCTGCCCGGGCAAAATTTCCCTCATAGCACACTCTATGGCGTATGACCGTCTTCATTAGCCCAGTTTAGGAGCAGAACAGTAGGATGTTAAACCCCATTTCATTTCATTTTTTACCTTTGGGGGGGGGGGGGGGGCGAATGGTTAGCACGTGCGTGCTGTATCATAAGGCCTGTCATGGTTCGAATCCCCGGCTGTACGTTTCCCCCCACTGCTAAACACCCCTACGCGCAAGCGAATTATTGAAATAAAATTAAACCATATGTTAGTCCAGAAATGACCTAGTGTCGAGTGGACGTTAAACCCCATTTCTCTCTCTCTCTCTTTTTATCTTGGGGCACACCGTGCAAATATATAGCGTTTAACCATGACATATTTTATACGTTGACGGTCTTCATATTCGATTAGTTACACACTTACCTACTATCGGATGAAAAGCACCAATAGCAGTGCCATGGACCAAAGAAATAAATCCCATCGCTTTGCCCAGATTCTCAATGCCCAAAAAATCCGTTAGAATCACTGGAAGTAGAGCTGCATAGGGTCCAACAGATAAACCATACACTAAGGAATAAACGATTTGAAGTCCGAAGCTTGTACAATATCGTGTGAATTGAGCTGAGATACCTCCTATAAAAAGACTTATCATCATTATATGATGTCTTTTAATGATTCCCAGGTCAGCAATGGCACCTACAAACAATCTTGACGCAACATCTGACACCCCAGCTACAGTTAAAAATAAAGCTGCATCCGATTCGCTTGCACCGAGCTCTATGAATAATGCTGGTAGATAAATGGGTGATACAAATATTGTAACAGCAAAAAAAGCAATCGACATAAGTAAAATACACTTAAAATTATTCAACAGTGAAAAATCTATGATATTAGTCAATTTGCACAAATATTTGTTTTTATTGGATGCTAATTCGCTTGTCTTCTTTCTGAGTTCTGAAGTTGTTGAGGTTTCTGCTCTGACATCGGTCGTGGATACTGACAGTAAATCTGAGTTACTCACATATTTCAATATTCCTGAATTCGAAAGGGAGTCAATAAAACTTTGATTTGATCCCGATTCTGTTCTACTGTGCTGTCTTTTATAAACCGCGTACTTAGCTCCGTCAGATACTGTGCGCAGGCGTTGAACAGGTAAGGGAGAAGCCATACCATTTTCAGGAATTCCTTGTGCTTTCTGGTCTTGACTTATGCTTCTTAGACACTTCATTTCCATGTTTATTTTAGAACTTGCTTTCTCGGGTGGTTCCGGTTTCGTGATTTTAACTATAACTTGCTTTGTTGGTGCAAATGTTTCAGGTCCACGAAGCAATAAAGCGAACACAAACATTTGACACTGAATACCACCCATTATCAACAAAGTTCCCCTTAAAGCGAACGTGTCCAAAAGATATCTAATGAAAATTGGAAATGTCAATGAACCCATGCTGATGCCGGTTTTTGCCACAGCAGTGGCTAATGCACGTCTTTTTTTAAAGTACCGCCCTATTAGAACCAGTCCTGGTGAGTTTATGCTGGCTTGTCCTATTCCTGAAAATAAAAGAGAAGCAAATAGGTCCTAACTGGTATGCAAAGAAAAATAAGCACTCAGCTAAATGACAAAAGGTATAAATTAATAGGAAAGTGTGAAATATAGTATGACTATAAAACTAAGATAAAGAGCGGTAGGCATTGGTATGGTAATAGGTTAGATGTTGTTGCAGTCACGCACAATCTAACATGGAGCAAACCAAAGAAAATAAGCAATCCCGATCTGCTGTATATGTTTAAATAAACGAAAAAAGCAAGAAAGGAAAGAATAAACAAAATATAACTAAAATAACAAGATTTAAATGAAACTAAATTGCTTACCAACAAGAAACTGTGTAAATATTAAGAAAGGTACTCCATTAGCTAAACAAGATAATATAACTCCACCAGATGATAGGCAGACTCCAACCAACACAACTTTTCTTACTGTAGTTTTTTCTAGTATGATATTCATCGTGATAAAACCTAGAAGATTTATGAATTGGTTGAAATTCCAAGCAACACATTGTGGTCATCCCTTTAAGTCACTACATCTTTTCGGAAAACTGACCTAGTGTAGATTGTTCAAAGCTGCGTTAATTTAACGAAGGTGTTGGGCTCCGTCGTTATCGGTTTAACGATGGCACTAATTGGCTGTAGTCAACGTATACCATTAGCAAAAGGTCCTATAGAAGACCAGTGTAGGTACTAGAGAGCTGGGGGGGGGGGCAGGGCTATCCGATTTTCTATAGGATGAAATGCTATAGTATTCTACAGAATATTGGGAGCCTGTAGGAAATAACAACCCCAAATATTCTACAGTTTCTGCAGTACAAATCCTATAATTTTTCCTACAGATTTATGCTAAATTTCTACAGGAAGATACTGTTTTGTTTGTTCTGTTGTCAATTATGTAAATATACCTTTTCAAAGCAAATCTGAGAAGGCCAGATGAAAAGGGTTCGGTGATTGTTACTTTCATTTTCGACCGTGATATCGGTTTTTGCAAAAAAGTTTACACATTAGATAAAATTAAACAAACATTTTCAATAAAATATGTACCTGATATACTAAGATATCGGTTTTTTGCAAAAAATTTACTCATTAGATAAAAGTAAACAAACATTTTCAATAAAATATGTACCTGATATACTAAGAGCAGCTGCCATAACACCAAATACTAGAGTTGTTATTGTTGCCGAAGCTTTGAACAAGTCCAGAAATTCAACAAAAAGTAAACCCAGTGTTCGTCCATATCCGGCAGTTATTGTAGCATTCAACATACAAGCTGAAATTATAATTAAATCAATTAAAGTAGTACAAGGAAGCACCGCAACGGAATGTCGAATTTTTCGAAAGGTAGTCTTGAATTCTAATTTTACATTTGAAGTTCTGGGTGGATCGTTTTCTTTGGAACGTTTTAAAACTAGGCTTTATTGGTAGCTCTAGCGAAATTGTTGATGATGGACCCACAAGTGCATATTTCGGGGCGGGGGGGGGGGGATGAGACCAAATAAGCGCCCCCGTAAGACAAAATCTCCTCAGACCCAGTCCCAAATCTGAAAAAGCTCGGTTCCAAATATTATACGTAGCTGTCTGAAATTTTTTCACGCCTACCGCGCTCGATATATTTTTATAGCAATCCTGATCTGTGGTCTTATACGCTCTCATCACTATCATATTCACGGTTATAGTGAATCTCTCAGTGGGTTCTGCAAATGTTCTGTCAACTCTCACAAAACAAGCGGAATTGTCATGTAGGCCTCCAGATTCTGTCCAATTTCTTATCCTCTTGTTGTCAAGAATTTGCTACCATCAATGAACTCAAATGCCAGGAAATTTAGGCCCAGTCCCAAAACATTAAAAGCTTAATTACACATTATACGGTGCTCGAATCCATTATAGCACCATTCTTCATCCACTCCTCTGATCTTATACGACCTCATCCCTATCATATATTCTCGGTTATAGTGAACCGCTCACTTAAACATTAATGGTACAGACTGTACAAATTTTCTGTTAGCTCTCACAAAACAGGCGGAATTGACGGGCAGATCTCAAGATTCTGTCCCATCGACTCCCATTTCTAGTCCTCTGAATCACAATAATTTGCTCCCAGCAATCGCCGCAAAACCCAGGATATCGACTCAAATTTTCAACATTTTCTTAGAGGGAGAACCCTTCTCCAGACCCCACTCCATTCATGTTGCTCAGTTCTATAGTCACTTCTCTAAGGTCAACTTGCATAAAACTGCTTTCCAGCAAGATAACGAGAAGCAAACTACTATATAGGCAATACTATCTATGTTCAATTGGGATGCCCAGCCAGTATTTTTTTGACATACGTTTGGACCATACCTATCATAACCACCCAGGCCCATCCTCTATCTATAGGTATTCGAGGATCTATTATTTCCTCGGCAGTGTTCAGATCATGTGCCTCAGGTGTCCGATCTGTCGTCAACTTCTCCACCTCCTCTTCCGTTATTCTTTCTTTTTGATTACCCGTCATCATGAAATCATTTTACCTACAAAATGAACAAATAAACCAAGATAACTAATCATTATTGAAGAGAACCTCTAACGTGTATGTCTTAGAAACTTAACCGGGACGCCTCGGTCACTCTGCAATAGTTATTTACCCGCCTGGTTGGGTTTCCTGTCAATATTTGAACAGGGAATACTGACCGAATACCCTTGTTACTCTACATCATAAAATGTACTTGATGACAACGGAGTTATATTACCTCTTTGATTTAGGTCAAAAAAAGTAATGAACTGTGAAGATCTCAGGGAGTGTTTGATCAAGTTGAATCAAGTTTTTAATACAGTCTATAGTACATGCCCGATACAATATACCTACGTCGATTATCTGGATCACGGAACGTTTAATATATTCTGTATCATGATATAACAAATTTATGTATAAAATGCGATATGAGAGTTGTGTTAAAAAGATAAATAATTGATAGGCAGGATACAAGATAGCGATTATCAAAGTAGTAGCTTGTAGGATGAAGTGAGTTTTACGCTTAACGGGGATGATAATATACAAACCAGTTTTTCCTTTACGATCATTATATGACATCATGATTATCTAACTGTTCGATGAAAGGTATAAGATAATATTATTGACAAGCTAGTATAGTATGCTCATAGTTATGTTCTATTTATTTATCTAGTTTGTAAAAACCCGTTTAAGTATAATTCCAACAAACTTATCATCGGGTGTTTCAAATACATGGAATTTTGAACTTCCGGTGCGTTATATATTAAAACAGAATATGTATAAAATAAAATTCAAAGACTATGATTATAGCCGCCACCCCCCTCCCCCAACCAAGAATAAAAGAATTAAATAATTAGCTTCTTGCGTTCGCCCACCCCTTCCCTCCCTCGTCCGAGCAGACTGTCTCTGGTGTATTCGTAATTTCTATTATATCAAGGTTGTTTGAATTATCAGTGGAATTTGTAACACGCTTTTACCCGGTGCCTCACACAATACTGATTGCAATTTTATAATATAGAGACTTTGTCTTCATATTTAAGAATCTCTGCACCAAAGCGCGAATCTTAATATTGTGGGCCATTTTGCTGATCATAAAGTAGCCACTGCAATTTTCGACATTTTAAAAGCACACTAACATTCACAAAAAATGTTTCACGTAAAGTTAAAAGTTTAAATTATTTTCTCTTGTAAAGTAGACGACAGACATTATCATCATTTGTAAATGTAAACTTACTTCCTTTGATGGCCAAAACTAAAAGCCGACTTCAGTTGATCTTGGGTTATTTCTATTTGTTATGTCAAATTTAAAATATTATCTAAAATCGTATGTTTGTTACATGTTCAAAATGATTTATAAAATGTAAATAAAATTATCCAGACCATGTATTTATAGTTATATCACGTGAAATTGTTTACTTATCACGTGGCTTTATTGTCATTATGGTGTTATATAAAAACTCGAGTCTCCAGTATAAAATGTCACCGTTGCTTCCCGGTGAAAAAATATCTTTAAAAGCTAAAAGCCTATGATTATAGTGTATCCAAAGTCTACTTAGATTAACCTTTTATTGTCGATCCCGCAAAACTATGACGAAGCTGATTTCAATTTCATGTAAATGCTTTTGGTTTTACTTTTAAATGTATATCATAAATCTATATCCATTCTCGTTGATATTGATAAACTTATATAATACTCACCACAACTCATGGACATGTAAAAATGCGATATGTTGAGAGTATCGTCGTTCGTCTTTTTCAAGAAACAGCTGATCAACAAATGAACAGGAAATCCCGGTCACGTTGTCGATTACATATATAGTTTCTATAAATAGTACGATAATTTTCCTAACCTTGTCGATTGACAAGAGCTTGCATCATGATAATACTCGTTTGAGGACAAAACTATCAAATCTCAGAAACTATTTCCGATAATGATGAAATATTCTAATTGTACATAGCATTAGCCATGTTTGGTTTTAAGTCTAGTTGTCCATGGCGCATAAAATCAATATAATCTCGTCAGGTGATCAGATCAATATTTTATTGTAAACAGCAACATACTTAAATTTAAAGTTCTTTGGTTGGGACTGTGGTGATATGTTTACATGTTTACTAGTATGCAAGGCATTGCCAGATGTTGATCCGTCTGTGGCGTTGCATTCGTGTTGGACGCTTTCTACCACAGGAACCCAATAACTCTGATTCTGATTGATCTAGAATGTTCAAATTTGGTGTAATTGTCCATTACGTGGATGCCTTGAGTTCGCAGATGATAAGCAGCATTGAAAGCACCGTGTACACAAAGTAGAAGGCCCATTGATATACCAAGATTCTGCAAGTAACAATGGAAATAAATCTGCATATGGTCCCAGAGACATTCCGAATATTAGGGAGAATTTGAAGTTCAAAAGTTGTGTAGTAATCAGTAAACTGAGATGTGATACCACCAAGAAGGAGACTAGTCATCATTATATGATGTCGTTTAATAAATCTAAGATCAGCAATAGCCCCTACAAACAATCTTGATCATAGCCCAGCTTAACCGGAGCGGGGCCCTGGGCCTGACTAGAATCGCGGGGCCCCTAACGCGACGAAAAGATTATTTCATATCCTTTTGAATGGGTTTCGTCCAATCACAGAGAAGGTTGAGGGATTGCAGACTCACCCAGTCTCTGCCCATTGCGCCGCTAGATCGATTACCGTGAAACTTTTATCTGGAATTTGAATTTTTTTCTCTTTTTGCCATGAACCGCGGGGCCTAGGCCCCTCGGGTCCATGCCTAAGCTACCACAATTAAAAATAATGCGGTGTCCTTCTGGTTAGCCCCGTTTTCTATCATCAGGGCGGGTATATAAACAGGCCCCCAAAACATCCCAATAGCTAGAGCAGTTATAGTCAAAAGTAAAATAAAGACAATTCTTCAGGAACGACAAATCTAAGATGTTAGATAACTTGCACAAATATCTGCATTTACAAGACATGTGTGTGTCCTTTTGAGATTTGATATGGCTTCTTCTACTGTTTCTGTACTTACATCAGCTGTCGACACGGATATTGAATGTGTTACTAAAGCGGTGGGCACACTAGCCGAATGATTCGGCCGAATCAATCGGCGTCGAAATTCGCCTAGTGTGTCCACTGTCATTCGGCCGAATGATTCGCCCGAATCAAACAGGTTTGATATATTCGGCCGAATTATATTCGCCTGGTGTGTCCGCTTCGCCGAAGCATTCGGCAGAATATAGAATTCATTAGCCAATCACCACTCATATCGAGAAGTCACGTGATAGATTGAAGACATAGATGCCGCCATATGTTTAATTATGTGACGTGAAAGGTGATGCAATCGACAGGTTGAATCGGGCGAAGCATTCGGCTAGTGTGTCCACCCATTCGGCGCCGATTAGTTCGGCCGAACGATTCGGCTAATGTGTCCACTGCTTTAGGTACTTAAAAATTCTAGATTGCGATAAAGAATCAGCGTACTTAATAGACGGACGTTTTGTCTGAGGCATAATTAGGCCGTTCCTTATGCTTCTTAGGAATTTCATTTCGATGTCAACTCTAGGATTTGTAATTCCCGATACTTCATTATTGATGGGTTTGTTTGTTTTGTTTTTTGGGGTTTTTTTTTGGGGGGGGGGGGGTCGAAGGACTCCGTTTCCCGAAGCAGTAAAGCAAATGCAAACATAGGACACTGACTTCAACCCTTAGAGCAAATGTGCCAAGAAGATATAGAACGAAATATGGAAATGCCGAGAAACCCATGCTGGTACCCGCTTTCGTTAGGGAGGTAGCTAAATCACGCCGTGGATCTGACATCTACAATCAAAATTTCTTGTCGTTTGTGTATTAGTGGAAGTTTGAGTAATCCCTACTGTTTTGGATTTCGAATCGTAAAAAATCAGATTTTCTCCTGTAAAGCGATTTTACACCAATAATAAAAAAGGGGGAGTGGTTTCAAGCATGGTAGAGACAACAAATAAGGCAATAACCTTAGAAATTCGAAGTTTACGGGAAAAGAAAAAGGAACTGTACATAATATTGACACAGTTCGTCCCCCAATTCTTATTGAGAAACGACCAAAAGACATAATTGCTGCGTATGATAAGGCAGTTGAAACAGTTAATTATATGTTGAAGGCATGAAAAGCGCTAAGTTTATGATGTGATGGGATATTATAATTGGCGCAATAAGCTGATGATGCGAATACATAAATATACTGAGCGCCATGGAAAACGCATCACTTTTTTTCCCAAATATTTTATTACTAGGTGGTTTTGTATGTATAATATTATGCAATACTATGAACTATTGTTTCACACAATGCTCCCAAACGCAAAAAATATCGGCCCGTGTGCAAAAATTGCAGGAGATGCACATGAAAAACCCAATATTCACGTGCAGCATTGTGTGTGAGCCCTTTAAAAGCATGTTTTCAACTTAATATGCAGTACATGAACTGTGAAACGTCAGTCTGTCGTAATTTGTTGTTGGACGTGTGAAGGGATCGAGCTAGAGATGCCGAGACTTACTGAAAATCAACGGAATGAAGCCATGGGAATGTCCAGGGCTGGCATGTCTACACGTGCTATTACCAGACACTTCAATTGTCATCAGTCCACTATTGTAAGGTTGGTGGAACGTGTTCGAGTTACTGGATCAACACGTGACCGTCAACGTCCTGGTCCACAACGCGTGGCTCAAGACCGCTACATCCGGGTCACTCATCTGCGTGACAGATTCCGCCCAGCGACTCGAACAGGTGCAGCAGTCGTCGGAAGACAAGGACCAGTAAGTGCCAACACCGTAAGACGTCGTCTAAGAGAAGTAGGACTCCGTGTACGACGACCTTATGTTGGAGCTATCCTCAGGGAGCATCACCGTCAGCGGCGTTTGATATGGGCTCAAGGACACCAGACATGGAGAAGAGTAGACTGGCAAAGTGTGCTCTTCAGTGATGAGAGTCGCTTTCAATCGTTATCACGCTGATGGCCGTCAACGTGTGTGGAGACGTCTTGCAGACTGCTGCGTCTTCGAAACGAATAGATGGGGTGGGGGAAGTGTAATGGTGTGGGGAGGCTTCACATTTCATCACCGGACCGCCCTACACATTTGCAGGGGTCGCGTTAATGCTGTAGCCTACCGTGATGATGTCTTGCAACCAATTGTTGTTCCGATGTTTCGAGCGCACCCACAACTTCAGCACTTCCAACAGGATAATGCACGTCCGCATACCGCCCGTTTTAGTATGGACTACCTGGCTGCTAACAACATCAATGTCTTGGACTGGCCAGCCATGTCTCCGGACATGGCACCGATAGAACATGTCTGGGATGAGATTGGACGCCGTCTGTATCGGAGACCACAGATGCACACCACTGCTGCTTTAGAAGCTGCTCTTGTCCAAGAATGGAACAATTTGCCCCAGACCTTCTTTCAAACATTGGTAAATTCCATGCGACGTAGCTGCACAGCGTGCGTAAGAGCCCGTGGAGGACACACGCGCTACTGACATCTGTGTCGTACTTCTGGTTTTGACCCCTCTGACTTTGTACCGTTGATTACAGATTAAACATCCATAAGTGTACAAATGTGTTGCTATTGATGTGTTCCCATTTGAATATTGTTCACAATAAGAAGCAAAATAAATAAGATATGTTTACAGGATCATTTTTTTATACGTAAAACTAAGTGATGCGTTTTCCATGGCACTCAGTATATAAATGGCGCATTAAGCTGATGATGTGATTGCATTTACATCCCACTTCTACTCGTTGCCACTGGCAACCTTTGATAAAACTGTCCTGTCTATTTTCATTACATGCTTAAAAGTATCCGTGTATCAGAAATATACACACGGATACTTTTATACTGTTTTAGATACCTATCAAGCAATGAGTAGCGGACGTTTGGTCCGACCCAGATCGCAATTGATAACATGGCTCTATACAATGCACAAGGATAATGCACATGAAACAACTAGTCAAAATCATAGTAACAAAACAAACCGGGGGGGGGGGGGACTACATGGCAGTTCAAAAACATATACAATGACATTAAATTAACATAACAACATATTACAAAAATCAATTATTATACATATCAATTGGCATCTATTTCATAATTTGGTTTGATTTATATTAATATGCAAAATATATAAATTAGAATATTGAATAATTATTTTAATTAATTGTGATGATAGAAGGCGCAGTTCTCTTGCTGGACACTTCACAGGCATTGAAAATAAGCAGGATGAAAAAAAAACGCCTAGAAAAGTCATAAACTTTATTACAAATAAATTTCAACGGAAGAACCATCCGCCGATGCATACTCTCACCAGGAATGACCCACGTTTCGCATTTCCTTTACACTACATTTAATAATATCGCAGTCCTCTACGCCATAGACAAGTTGTTTTGACGATGTGGTCTAAACAAACACGTGATTGTTTTACGCTCAGAGTATCATAGCAAGACGCACGTGTAAATACTACTCAGGTCGTCTCTCCACTGCGAAATCATTCTACCATGAAATGTAACGTGAGACTCAGAAAGGGATAAATGAAAGAGCAGAAAGTATTTGTCACTTTTCGGTTGAAACGACTCGATAATAAATACTATTTTTCACATTTTGCTTCACAATACTCGATAGAAATGTGATGTAAGTAAGTAGTAATTAGCACCTTTCCTCGGTGTATCGGTGAATATCAGGACAGTTTTGGTCGGGAGCCGCCTCGGCTTGGCCCCTCGACCAAAACTGTCCTGATATTCACCGAGGAAAGTGTGCTAATATTACATAAATGTCAAAATAATCTGACGCATAATATAAACTGTTTCTCCTTTTGTTGTTGCACGTGCTTTTTCTGCTGTTAAGAAAACAGCTTGCGCGTCACTTTTTTTGTTGTGTAAAACCGCCCGGTTTGCTGACATTAATAGAAATGTGGTCTAACATCCGTCGACACAAACTAGGTTATTTCGGCACTAAAATATGGTTCAATTTTATTTCAATAATTCGCTTGGGAGGAAACCGGAGGACCCCGAGAAAACCCACGAGGTTGGACAGGCGACCCTACTCCTTGTCACGTACAACCGGGGAATCGAAAATACACCAGTTAACTCAATGACAGACCTTATGATACAGCATTTTAATATATCTGATTTATACTTAATGGAAGTCAACAGTCACTTATATAGTGTAGCAGGGGTCACGTTGGCTAAGTGGGAATGATGCTGCCTCGCTGGCCTGGAGGTCGGGTGTTCGATCCCTGCATTGGCTGAGAAAGTTCATCCAGATTTTCCGGTGTGGTTCCCCTTTGTCAGTTATGCAGGACGGGGGCCTGACAAGGTAGGACAGCTGTCTAGTCATTCGGATGGGACGAAAAACCGAGGCCCCGTGTACATGTCGGCTTGTAAAGTAGACGACAAACATATTATAATTGGTAAACCTACTTTCTTTATAGGCCAAGACTATAATATTAACCAAAATGGGTTGATCCTTGGTATCTCTATTTGTAATGACAAATTTACAATATTATCTAAAATCATGTGTTTGTTACATGTTCAAGATAGCCTAATTTATTTAAAAATAAATAAAACTAGACCTGTCCTCGAAACAGGTTTGATAGTTTTTATACAACCCAATCATACACTTATACATTAATTTCAAAATCTAGTAGATTAATGTTTGGTTGTCCTATTTCTTTTTTTTTCTAGAATCTTAAAGAAAAAATAGAATTTTTAAAATCTGTCAAAAAGTCCCTATCTTAAATAGCAAAAACGTTTCAGCAAGCAACATTTCCTGGTTTTTTTTATAAAAAAAACCAAAACAAATTGCACATTACTTATGTTTACAGACTGATTGTGCTAAAACTTTCAGAATAAGCACCAACTAGCTTAGTTAATCGTTTACCATCATGAAATGAAATGAAATGGGGTTTAACGTCCTACTGTTCTGCTCCGACTATGTTCTACTCTTATATCAAATTCCAACTGCCACGTGATCTTTTACGTGCACGCCAATGAATAACCGGGTCCTCGGTTTTTCGTCCCATCCGAAAGACTAGACAGCTGTCCTTGTCAGGTCCTCCGTCATGCACCACTGACAAGGGAAACCACGCCGGAAAATCCCCTTGAACTTTCTCGGCCAATGCAGGGATCGAACACCCGATCTCCAGGCTAGTGAGTCAGCGTCTTACCCACTTAGCCAAAGTGGCTCCCGTTTACCATCAACATTTTACCCGATTTCCAAGTTTGACATGTTTTTAAACAAGCGGCTGCCATGCAAGATACCCCCACATTTTGCAAGAGATGAACAGAGAACAAGCCAGGAAGTTACGGCCCGTTATGCGATAATCTACAGGAACATATTTTAAGTTCCATCAAAATATTACATACATTAAATTGGAAATCAAAATTACGCAGTTACTCTTCACTTCAAATGCCTTCATTCAAAGTTAGTCGTTATCATCATCGCTGTCACTACATGTATAAAAATCAAATTAGGTCTTATTATTTCATTTTCACATTTACTAAACATGTACAGACAACCCCGGTGCGGTTTCCCCCTGTCAGTGGTACGGGATGGAGGGGGTCTGGAAGGACAATGCCCAATCGTTCGGATGGGAGGGAAAACAATAGTTTAAACATATTTGATCCAACAAGCTGAATCGGATTGAACAACAGGTAAGGAGCTACATGAGCGTTGAGGGCCAATCTCAGATGGGGACGAGCGCTGAGCTTATGGGAAATTAGATAAAGGGCTGAAAGTTCTCACTATAATATACTATTCAAAAAAAGTAGGGGATATTTGATTTTTAAGTGTTATTAAAGTCACCTAATGAAACTGACGAAGAAACAAATGACAAAATGAAATGAAGTTCACATTCATCGATTTATTCCAAATGATCGTTAGACTAAGTAAGGCACAGACTGACCATTATAAGGGTAAAATGATACCCGGGGTCAAACAGCAAAGTTACCACAGCATCACAACCAAGTCAGTAACGGGTAAATCCTCCTCTGTTTGCCAAACAAGCATTGATCCGACGTGGCATACTCCTAATGAGACGTCTAAGATCATTTTGGTCCAGATTGTCCCATTCCTGTTGCAACGCAGCAGCAAGTTCTTGGACATTGGCAGGACGTTGTTGACGTTGACGTAACCTCTGTCCAAGCATGTCCCAGACATGCTCGATGGGGGAGAGGTCGGGACTCAGTGCTGGCCAAGGTAATGTGGTGATGTTCTGTTGTTGGAGGTAACCTGTAACGATCCTGGCCCTGTGACATCTTGCGTTGTCATCCTGGAAGATGAAACGGCGGCCATGACGTCGTGCGAACGGCACAACATGGACTGCCAAGATGTTGTCCCGGTAGTACTGGCCTGTAACACGCCCTGCAACAACATGTAAAGCCGTTCTTCCAGCAACAGTGATGCCTCCCCACACCATAACATAACCACCCCCAAATCGATCATGTCTGATGACGTTAACGTCTTGGAAGCGCTCGTTTCGACGACGCCACACCCTCCTACGTCTGTCCAAAAAATCAACAGTGAACCTTGACTCATCTGAAAACATCACATTGCTCCAGCGTCGATTATCCCAGTGTTGACGATCCCTACACCAACGACGTCTTGCCTGAATGTGATGATCTCTCAAACAAGGGATCACGCGAGGACGTCGGGCGCGAAGGTGACCCCTATGCAGTCGATTCCAAATCGTCTGGCCACTCACTCTCACACCAGTGTCTGTTTGAAGACGAGCGCTGATCTGATTGCATAATGTATGTTTAACTAAAACGAATTTTCCACAAAGCTGTGATGGTTGTTTAATTAATTACACAAATATACAATTATATTTCCATAGAATATGGTCGCATTCTCCAATCTCTGATAAATGTGCCCGAAAAATGGATGGTTCACCGAATCTGGGAGGGGGGGGGGGGATATAGGCATACATGTATGAGTTCTCCCAAAACAATATGCCTACAAATATTTGTAAACCTTTAGTTCAGATTAGATTTGGGGCTAAATTCCTAACAAATATTTGAAATGAAACAAAGCACATAATTATGTAATTTTCTCACTAAAATAGATATATGGCAAATCCTCAATAATACTTGAAAGGGGGTGACAATTGTAATGAAGAGAAAAAAAGTCAAATAGAGTTTAATGCCTAACTGTTCGGTATCAACCGGGATAATGAAGATGTACATACGTCATAATTTATGCTATAGGGAAAATTTGGTCCAAGCAGCGACGTTACGGTCTACTCTTCATTTCTACTTTCGAGGTCTTTTACGTGCACGCCAACGTGTGCACGGGACCTCAGTTTTATATTCCATCCGAATAATTATACGCTGCCCATCACAGCCCCCCTCCACCACCATCCTTTCTGCACCGACAACGCTTAAAAATTAAGGGAACTGTCTAGGTCAACACGGGGATCAAAGCCCGGAATCCTGTTTCTCGAAATCTTAACTAAAGATAAAATCCACATTTTAGTAGATACTTCAATTTTGATTGGCTAAGCACTAAAATCAATCTCTATATTATCCAATCAAATTACTAAAATCTAGATTTTATCTTATTTATCTTTTTACAAATCATCATAACCCCAAAACCATATGAGTAAATACTTTGCGTGTGACATGTCTAGTAGTATAGGCCTGTGGGCCTTCTAATACCAAGAAATTGGCTATTTTAAACCATTGTAGGCCTACACGAAGATATTTTTTATAGATAAGAGTGCCCTCATTTCCATGACATTAGATATGAAGTGAGTTTTTATTTTTAATTTTTTTTTATTTGAAAATAGTATAATTTATAATTGAATCCTATGGTATATAAAATAGTAACAAAGAGTTTTGTTTATTGGGGTCGGTTTTAATTTGGGGTGGGGCGTTATCTAATTGCTTAAATTGCAGCTATATTTCACATGCTAAAATGAAAAGAAATTCAATGAGAACTGTTTTTGTGAATAATAGTATGTTAAAATTATGTGACCCGGGCCATTGGCAATATTATCATTATTCCAAATATATGTATATGTCGCAGTAGATCTAACAACGTAACTCTAATCAATGCTTGTCGTGATTTTAAGTTAGGGAGAGGGTGACGGCTGTCCTAAGTTAAGATTGATTTTAGTTAAAATTTTCCCTAAAATAGTTTTGTGAAACGGCACTATTTTAAATTAAGATAAAATTTTAACTTAAAATATTATTTTAGTGGATTTTTATCTAAAATGCTTAAAATCGTTTTGTGAAACGCATCTATCTTAAGATGGTTTTAAGGAGAATTAGTTTTTGTGAAACAGGGCCCTGGTTAGTGAGCCACGGACAGGGGGAAACCACGCCGGACCAGGATCAAACCTGATTTCTTTTCTCTTCATTACAATGCTGTCACTCGATTTACAGTATTATTTAGTTTTGGCCATATCTATTTTAGTCAGAAAACTAAATATCTGTAGATGCTATGTTAGAACTTTAGCCTCAAATCCTATCTGAAAAAGGGGTTAAACTTATATAGGTAGGGTGCCCCACCATAAATAAATATCTCCAAATAACTCGACAATTACACCACAATATTTATATATACCAATCCTTAAATCTGTTTGGCACATTTATAGTCACTAAATAAACGGCCATGTTCTACTTAATAAGCTATGGCCATTTAACCATCGATAAATAATAGACTGAAAAATGGTTCCGAGTGTCGTCCATAACATCCAGACACTTTTAAGCAAAAAAAAAAGTTACGTGCCCTTGTTTTGAAATTAGTCTCGCTTAACCAGTCTACGGACTGATTGACAGGCCGGGATAATCAAGACTACTTTTTTACGAAGCTGGAACAAGAAATTGAATTTAGAAACACGCACGGTAAGCAACTCAACGAATGTTTTAAGAACCTTATAAAAGTTAAATGAAACTACTGCTAGTATTATGTTCCTGTCTAACCCGAGTTTTTCAGAGATATTATTTGTACTAAACCAAATGATGTCGCTCCTAACGGTATAGTTAATGATAAAGCAATTTAAAAAATAAAACGAATGGAATTTCTAAAGCTGCTGTAATAACCAAAGAGCTAAATATTCAGAATTGTCAACAATAGATTTTTTACGGCTGTAATAGCTGATAGATGTGTTGAGAATTTTACGTGCGACGGCTATTTATAGACTCAAAGAGAGTGTGAGACTAGCCAGAAATCACTTCGAGACAAGCCACTGAAGCGTGCACATTCACCGTGTCGAGTACCACTTTTAGTAGTGAAAATTTTCGGCACATGGGGCACCCTAATATAGGCCCCTGTCTGTACTGTCTGTAGTTAAATCCTATTCCGTTTATCGAATAAATTCTTTAAACAAAACACTGTTATCAATAATTATTGGTATTTTCGATAAAGGAAGATAACTTCTTTTACCGTAAATGGATTTCCAAAATTACGTATGTTCCTTTGTCCATTACGTTTTCTCCATTTTGCTTTAAATCAAAATTTAACCAATAGCACATTCTTTGCATAGGATCATAGAACTATTATATACGATCCATGATAGGATGAAGGCATCGGGTGTTTTCGCCAATATTTAATTTATGTCAACTTCACAATTCTTAAAATAAATATAGCATTTACTTCAGAATTATCATAATTTTCATTTGGCCCTGAATAGAGATATTACATTTTGCCTGAAACTCTCTGGATTTGTGTTCCTAGTGTTATAAACTTTCAAATAATGTTTAGTTTGTTTATTAGGGAGGACTTTGTACCGGAACTTCACGCTAGAAATTTTGGCTGCAGGCCTACATTGGGCTTCCGTTTTCCTTATCAAGTTTTCGCTTCCGTTTTTCTTCTAAACGTGAAACTAATGGTACAAATAAAAGCAAAACCACCGCAACAAGGCACGTTGTACCAATCAGATGATACGCCATTACATAGCTTGCCGTCTTGTCTCGTATGGCACCTGAAAGAGAGTAAGTTAACTTCAAAACACGTATTTCCTCGACGGTCGCGTCAATTGGAAAACGTATCCAGACAAACAGATAAAAATACTTGTTACCAAATATATTATATCTTTCGAAACACTTCATGGGAAGCCCTTTTAACTATCTACATAGTTTACGTAGCTGGCTAAGGACGCCGAGGCTTTCTCCATCGGTTTTCATTTCTTGCCTGCTAAAGACACAACAACCAGAAGGCGAAAACAAATATATGTTACCAAATATATTACATCTTTCGAGATACTTCATGAGAAGCCCTTTTAACTATCTACCTATCTCACGTAGCCGGCTACGAAAGAGAAGCGAAGCAAAGAAGCCACATCAATTGGTCCTACTCCCTCCCCGTCGTTCTTTTCTTGCCTGCTTGAGGCACAACAACCGGAAGGTGAAATCTTGCCGCCTCTTTCCGGTTATTTAACAGAGTCCTTCGTTTGACCTATTGTTGGACGGGTGTTAAATGGCCTCATGGAACGTGATTTCTGCTTATAAAAACAAATTCCGCATGTTAATGAAACAATATTTCCCAGCGAAATTTGACTTGAAAATATTGTTAATAATGAAATAATGTCTACCCAGTCAGAAATTTGTTTTATTTTGGTCTTAATTGAACAAGAATATATCCCAGCTTTCTTTTATTTTGGTCAACCATGCTCTGTTTTTTTTATGTCTCCCGTGTTTTAGAGAACGCAGGGGAATATTAAAATGTGTCCTTCTGTCTGCCTGTCCACTCGTCATTAGTCCTGTAGGCGCATAAAAGTAGGACGTTAAACCCAATCCCAATGTTCGTTGGAAGAGGTTAATCTGAATCATTTAAAGCAATTATGCTGTGTTCTTTTTATTTGGGCATTTTAATACGAACTTTGGAACACGATAACTTTGATTAGAATTAACTGAGAGTGAGTGATGAAAATGGTTTACATACATACATTGACCACGTTCGGTCAGACCATATCTCTGCTTAGACTAAGTTAGATAAGCGCAATTTGATATTCCGATGCTTTGAAACACTCTGTTTCCAACTGAAACTATGTGTAGAGAGCTCCTAAGAGCTGATTATAAGCTGGTCATGTGAATAAATGTATAGATAATAATTTATATAACATTTAAATCCAAAACAAAAACCTGAAATAGGCAGATTTAGCTCTTACATAATGCATTTTAAAGCAGATTTGAGCAATTTGATTTGTCGATGATTTGAAAAACGATAATCTCGTTTCTAATTAAAACTTACTGTTGATGTTCCTGGGGGTGTCTTGAATATTACACTTACCTACGATCGGGTGACAAGCACAAATAGCAGCACCATGGACTAAAGAAATAAATCCCATGGATTTGCCAAGATTCTCAATGCCCAAAAAATCCGTTAGAATCACTGGAAGTAGAGCTGCATAGGGTCCAACAGATAAACCATACACTAAGGAATAAACGATTTGAAGTCCGAAGCTTGTACAATATCGTGTGAATTGAGCTGAGATACCTCCTATAAAAAGACTTATCATCATTATATGATGTCTTTTAATGATTCCCAGGTCAGCAATGGCACCTGCAAACAATCTTGACGCAACATCTGACACCCCAGCTACAGTTAAAAATAAAGCTGCATCCGATTCGTTTGCACCGTTTTCAATGAATAATGCTGGTAGATAAATTGTTGTTACAAACAATGTAATAGCAAAAAAGGCAATCGACATGAGTAAAATAAACATAGAATTCTTTACCAATGTAAAATCTATGATATCAGTGAACTTGCACAAATACTTATTTTTATTCGACGCTGAATCAGTTTTCTTCTTTGGAAGTTTTTGACTTGTTGAGGCTTCTGTGCTTACATCAGTCGTGGATACTGACAATAAATCTAAGTTACTCACATATTTCAGTATCCGAGAATTAGATAGGGAGTCAATAAAACTTTGATCTGATCCCAATTCTGTTCTACTGTGCTGTCTTTTATAAGCCGAGTACTTGGCGCCGTCAGATACTGTACGCAGGCGTTGAACAGGCAAGGGAGAAGCCATACCATTTTCAGGAATTTCTTGTGCTTTTTGGTCCTGACTTACACTTTTTAGAAACTTCATTTCCATGTTTATTTTAGAACTTGCTTTCTCGGGTAGTTCCGGTTTCGTGATTTTAACTATAACTTGCTTTGTTGGTGCAAATGTTTCAGGTCCACGAAGCAATAAAGCGAACACAAACATTTGACACTGAATACCACCCATTATCAACAAAGTTCCTCTTAAAGCGAACGTGTCCAAAAGATATCTAAGGAAAATTGGAAATGTCAATGAACCTAAGCTAATACCGGTTTTTGCCACAGCAGTGGCTAATGCACGTCTCTTATTAAAGTACCGCCCTATTAGAACCAATCCTGGCGAGTTTATGGTGGCGTTTCCAATTCCTGAAAATAAAAGACAAGCAAAAATTTCGTAATAGCTAAGCACAGAAAAATATGCAATGACAATTGGTATCAATAAGAACATGTGTGTACTGGACATGCATCAAGATAGTGAAACGAATAATGGTGATAAAATACGGTGATAAAATATGGTGATAAAACTAAAAAAGATATAATTGAAACTAAATTGCTTACCAACAAGAAACTGTGTAAATATTAAGAAAAGTACTCCATTAGCTAAACAAGATAATATAACTCCACCAGATGATAGGCAGACTCCAACCAACACAACTTTTCTTACTGTAGTTTTTTCTAGTATGAAATTCATCGTGATAAAACCTGGAAGATTTATGAATTGGTTGAAATTCCAAGCAACATATCGAGCCCCCCCCACCCCCATGGCATTACCCCTTGCTAACATTAGTAGTACAGAAGTCGAAAGATGAGAGCAACATGGCATAAATAATTGTTTGGAGAATTGACCTAAAGATTAGCGTGGCTGGTGACATAATGTAGAATTCCTTCCATACATTTACGATAAACACTCTAAAAATGGTTTCATACCAAATCTGCCATGTGAAATTCCCAATGAATTTTCAACTGTGATGTTGCATAACCCGTAGCCATTATTTTGTTGTTGCAAAATGTTTTCATTAGGTTTCACTACGCATATCATTTATTGGTAAATATATGTACATGCTATAGTAAATACCGGTTTCTGGTTCTAACATTTAAGAAAAAATAAAAATACAGTTTAATAAAATATGTACCTGATATACTAAGAGCAGCTGCCATAACACCAAATACTAGAGTTGTTATAGTTGCCGAAGCTTTGAACAAGTCCAGATATTCAACAAAAAGTAAACCCAGTGTTCGTCCATATCCGGCAGTTATTGTAGCATTCAACATACAAGCTGAAATCATAATTTGGAAATTTTCGAATGACAGTCTCGGAGTTTACATTGTTACATTTGAAGCTGGTTAGCGCGATACAAGAAAACTATTCCGTGGATTTGAAAAAAAGATCAATTTGTTAATGATTGTAGTTTAAAGAAAGAATGGTGATACAACATAAAAAAACCGTAATGCCAAACAACCAAAAGAACTATCCTTTAAAGAATAAATCTCTCATACCAATCATAACCACCCAGGCCCATCCTCTATCTATAGGTATACGAGGATCTATTACTTCCTCGGCAGTGGATGGATCATGTGCCTCAGGTGCCTGGTCTGTCGTTAACTTCTCCACCTCCTCTTCGGTTATTATATCCTTTTGATTATCCTTCATTATAAAATCATTTTACCTACAAAAATGAACAAAAACTCCAAGATAACTAATGACTAAAAAATAGAGTATCTAACACAGGTTCGTGCAAAGCTTAGGACCTTAACCAGAACGCCAAGAGTGTAGCGGGTGCTATATGTCGCTGTATTGTTTTCTGGTGTAGATGGTGCTGTACGTCGCTGTATTGTTTTCATGCATAACACCTGCATATTTTAAAATTCGACCTTTAAGTAATATTACGACGCTGTTATAGTTATTTACCAGCCTATTGTGTTTCTGTCAATATTTTAACATTTGCAGACAGATTCACTCCCTTATGTTAACCATTAACCACATTATGTATCTCAGAGATTTCTGTGCCAAAATAATATCGCATTTCGACAACTCATTTCGGCTGGATAGTTCAGCCATCTCGTTAGAAATGTATAGTTTCAGCAAATGAAATAAAGTACGACTAAGTCTAAATCTTAATCAACAGTTTCAAAAACATCGAAACCTTAGAGTTTCGGGAAAAATTTACAAAAACGAAGCCTTATATGTGTAACTCTTCCCTGACTGTCATAAACCATCATATTGAAATAGTCAGACATTTCGGACTATGCGTTGGCCCTGTCTATTTTAACATCAACATGAGATATGGATATTCACTTACAACCACGTCTAATGTAGTTGGCGACGTAGAGAAACGACGGCGTTGTCGATACCTTAATGATAGTTATTCGATTCTTTGATAGTGATTTCTAATGGTCCTAAATAATCAAAATTCTTAACCTTCTAAAAAATCCCAACCTTTTGTAAAAGTACAGTTTACCCCTCTCAATGGAAGATAAATATTATTAATTTTGAATCATATCAGATTCAAAACAACAATAGGATCATATAATCATCTAAAGATAGGTTGCCAGAATGTGGCCGATCTTGACGGTGGTCGTCTCCTGAATGGCAATTGTCTGCCAGTTGACGTCATGAGTTAGAATGTGAAACAATTATAACAATAAGGGCGATAAATAAATAAAATAAACAAAGTACAGTGAGCAAAGCAGTTTCATTCATCAGTATGGATCCTGGCAGATAATTTCAAGTTTGTTGAGATATTTTCTTTTTTGGTGGTAAGTTTAATCATGAGACATGAGCTTGATCATTCGTTCCATCCGAAAGACTATACTGCCTTTGCCAAGCCATCTGCCCTGCACCACTGACAATGGCAAACTGCGCCGGAAAATCAAGAGGAACTTTCTTGACCAACACCGGGAGCGAACCGGGGTGCTCCTGGTTAGCTGTTTAGCGTCTTAGTCTTATTACACATGCTGGGGCATAGTAATAAGAGAGAGAGAGAGGGAGAGAGAGAGAGAGAGAGATGGGGTTTAACGTCCACTTGACACATACTAGGTCACTTCGGGACTAACATATGGTTCAATTTTATTTAAATAATTCGCTTAGCAGTGGGAGGAAACCGGAGGACCCGTAGAAAATCCACGTGGTTGGACAGGCAACCCTACTCTTTGTCATGTACAACCGGGGATTCGAAACAACGCACGAGTCGTGCTAACCATTCGGCCACCCCCCCCCCCCCAATTGCCTACACATGAACATAAACAGTTCATATGGACGGCTTATCTGACGGACCCATTTCACTCGCAAAGAGATACACTTTCAAAAGTGAAAATGGACGTTTTTGATTTTTGTCTTAATAATGAGTAATTGCTCCAATCCTCAGACATTCGGCAATTCGTCGTGACATGCTCTTATTCAACCGTCCAATCACGATTTGGAGCAATCTAACCCACTCCTCTTGCACGCCACTAAAGCAAAGATACGCTAAACAGTAAGTCTTATGCAAGAACCGATAGGAAAACAAACATGGATAGGATAAACCACCAGACGGCAGTTTTCATCAACCCTTCCTTGAAGTGTCAAATTTGACAATGAACCTCTCCCACGTGTATGGTGATATTACGTGTCGCGCATGCAGCTCAGTGGTTTTGTTGGGGCAATAAATTCTTCATCGGTGAACATACTCTCAAAGCATGTCAAGTTTCCATGACTATCACAACCTGCATAGGTATTTGCATTTCAATATCCCTTACTTTTTTTGAAGAGTATATATACCAAGCCTAAATCAGTTTCGCACATTTATAGTCACTAAATAAACGGTCTATTATTTAACCATCCATAAATAATAGACTGAAAAATGGTTACGAGTGTCGGCCATAACATCCGGGCACTTTTGAGTAAAAAATAGGTTTAGCGGTGGACACACTAGCCGAATTATAAGGCCGAATCGTTCGGCCGAATGAATCGGCGTCGAAATTCGCCTAGTGTGTCCACTGTCATTCGGCCGAATCAAACAGGTTTGATATATTCGGCCGAATTATATTCGCTTGGTGTGTCCGCTTCGCCGAAGCATTCGGCCGAATGTAGAATTCATTAGCCAATCACCACTCATATAGAGAAGTCACGTGATAGTTTGAAGACATAGACGCCGCCATGTTTAATCATGTGACGTGAAAGGTGATGCAATCGACTGGTGAATCGGGCGAAGCATTCGGCTAGTGTGTCCACCCATTCGGCCGAATAAAATTCGGCGCCGATTGATTCGGCCGAACGATTCGGCCGAATAATTCGGCTAATGTGTCCACTGCTTTACGTGCTCTTGTTTTGAAATTAGTCTCGCTCAACCAGTCTACCGACCATTCTCCGTCTGATTGACACTAATAAAAGGCCGGGATAATCAAGACTACTTCTTTTACGAAACATAACAGAAAGCTGGAACACGAAATTGAATTTAGAAACACGCACGTTAGACAACTCAACAATTGTTTTAAGAACCTTGTAAAAGTAAAATGAAACTACTGCTAATATCATGTTCTTGCCTAACCCGAGTGTTTCAGAGATATTATTTGTACTTAACCAAAAAATGCCGCTCCAATCGGTATAGTTAATGATAAAGCAATTTAAAAAATAAAACGAACGTAATTTCTAAAGCTGCTGTAATAACAATAAAGTTAGATATTACTGCTATTCACAATCGTCAATAATAGATTTTTGCGACTGTAGTAGTTGATAGATGTGTAGAGAATTTCACATGCGATGGCTTTTTATAGACTCATAGTCCCTTGCCCCGAGTGTTATCGTACCGCGTGACTAGCCAGAAATCACTTCGAGACTAGCCACTAACGCGTGCACATTCGCCGTGTCGAGTTTAACTATTAGTAGAGAAAATTTTCGCTGCACGGCGCACCCTAACAAATGACGCGATTATACAATAATGACATCTTAATAAGAAATAAAGACTAGGTCAATTAGACTCCCATTACTGAAATTGTACACGAGTAACTCACATTTCAATTCACATAGTCAAATAATTAATAAATATCGAGTGCATTAATTTGGACATTACACCTAGAATACTCAAGAAAAGGCATAAAATGCTAAACCATGGTTTGAAACAGCATGTGTACAAATGAGAAAAAGCCTGTCGCAATATGCTAAAACTTTTCAAAAATTTCATAATGACCCAACATTTTGTCAAACATAAGTTAAAACGTGAGTACACAAAACTGATTAAATCTAAGAAGCGTGAATTCAAAGATGAATTACTTACTAAACTTGAGCATTTAGATAAGTCTAATCCAAAACTTGATGATTTGGCTAAAAACAAACCAGATCAATCAACTCTTTTTGATCCTGAAACCATGAAATCTCACTTACAGGACTTGGGTAAAATAGATACCAATTTTACCGATTCTTTCGATAATATTATGATTGATATCAAACGACAACTTAAAGATCTGGAACAAACGGGAATTTATTCTAATACGTTGAATGTGTTATTAGTCTCAAGGAGATCCACATTCACATTGCAAAATTGCAATGAAATTATTAAGGTGCTTCAAACCCTTATTTCACCAAAGTTAGTGGAAATATTTAATAGTTGCATAGGGCATGGTTTTTTTCCCACATCGATGGGTAGAAGGTTATATATTGTACCGATCCGTAAAGTCAAATCACCGAAGAGTGCGAATGATTCTAGAGGTCTTATAATGACCAGCTGTATTGGAAACTTATTTATTAGTATATTAACTGAGAGGTTAACCCAATCTTTAAATACCGTTAATGTTCCCTCTAACTTCTAGTGTGGCGTTAGAAAACATTATAAAACTTCTGACAATATCTTAATTTTAAGAGCTTTAATTGATAAGTGTTTAAAGAAAAATAGACGTCTTTATCTGTGTTTCATTGACTTTAATAAAGCCTTTGATAGAGTTTGGAGAGGTCTTTTCTACAAACTATTAGATTTAGGTGTAAATGGTAATGTTTATAAAGGTTTAAAATATGTTTTATAATAGCCAACTACAAGTCAAAGTTGGAAATACATTAAGTGAAACGTTTATGAATGAAGAAGGCGTCATTCAAGGAAGTAACCGTAGTCCGTTATTATTCAACTTCTTTATTGACAAGCTCCCATATATTTTAAATCATTCTATTGATGTCCCTAAATTAAATGACACCCATTTTCCTGCATTACTATATCAGTAGTGGTTTGCAAACCTCATTAAATATAATTGATAAATATTGCAAGTAATGGAGACTTAAAATTAACATTAAAAAAAACGCAGGTAATGATTTTTAATAAATCAGATAGAAAACTCTTTGACAAATTCAATATTAATGGAGACTGCCTAGAAATTGTTCAAGAATACAAATACTTGGGTACTATGTCCTGGTTCTTTACCAGAGGCGTTGACAATTTAAACGATAAAGCATTGAAAGCATTCTTCCAAATTTTAATGTATCTTTGAACATTAAATTCAAACTATTTGAGATCCTAGTCAAACCCATACTACATGTATTATGGATGCGATTTCTGGGGCGATCATATTACATCTAACCATACAAACTGTTACAAACTTTGTAAACACCTTTTGCATGTTCATAATAAAACTTCAAACTCTGCTGTATTAGCTCAAGTTGGTCGGTTCCCAATTCTTCTTGGTGTTAAATGCA